AAATCCAGGAATTAAAACTCTGTATAGCAGCTTTGGGATTTAAATCTTATTTAGGCTGGACACCTTTCGTTTTTCATACATGGTGAAGTATATAAGGTGGATCTATTTACTTCAGCGGAGCCACTCACCTAGATACTGAGTTTATTTTTATTAATTTCACCTTAGAGTTGAATCTTTTATTTAATATACTATGTTGGAGTAAAGACACAACATATGGGCAGTGCCTTTTGTTTCAGGTTTTCCTCGAAAACGTAATAAAAACATTTTTGTTTTGGTTTAATATGCTCACAAATGGCTCTACTTTCTGCCCCGTTCTGCCTGGACGTTTGATTGGTGGCATTAACGGTAAATAAATGTGTTCTGAACGCTTTAAACCTGCTGTGTATTCAGGGAAGGCTCAAATAAACCACAAGCAATCAGAGGATAAAGACAGAGTCCGCCAGAATGTGAATGATTAGCCGAAAGGTCGAGACAAGGGAGGCAGATTGGGCCCGATGTGTGAATGCCCGGTCAATAAACAGCTTTGTTTTTGTTACCAGCATTTGATTTGTGGTAACTTCCAATTGCCTGCAATCAGCTTTCTTTTGTCTTCTGTCTTCTGTCTGGTGTTTACAGACACAGTCATCTTTCCCCCCACCAACATCCTTTACATTAATATATAAAACTTCATTTGGAAAGATGTGTTTTCATACTTTAACCCTGAAAATGGGATTTATTCTTGGTCTCACTCAATCACAGCCAGACGGTTCTGGGTTCGAATTCTAGCTGGGAGCCTTTTTGTGTTGAGTTTGCACGTCCATCCGTGTTAATTGGTTAATTGGTGACTCCATCATGACAGAAATAACCGACTGCCTTTCACCCAATAACTGGTAGTTGTTTAAAAATATTATATATACATATGTATACTCATAAGGACTAACCTTTGTGTAAATGTGGGCTTTGCTGGCTTTTTCCTCAAATGTTAGCCTGCTAAATATATATATTTTTAGCATTTTTTCATGCATATTATTGATTTAAGTTTTATACATTTGGTCATTTTCCAATTTAAATGAACATAGGATGTTTCTACATTATCATTTGTTTTGCTTTGATGATAAATCGCATGATATTTACCCTATCGGCATGGACGTAGGGATGGGGAGATAAACCGGATTAAAATAGCCTTTTTATCTAGACTTTTATGTCTTTGAGCCATTCCGCAAACATTTCTTAGATCTGTTTTTTCATTGACAACATTGCTGCAAAATGCACAGCCCAACTCGAGGAACTAGAAAAACACAACCTGTTTAAGTGTTTGGAAGTCTGCCACTGAAGTCTGAACATGTATTTAAAAATCAATATATTAAGTTAGAAACAGCTCTAGAGCTTTGAGTATAAACTCCTCAAGTTTGTTTGTAGTAAATTAAGAAAAAATCCCCTTTATTTTGATAAAATGAGTCATATGCCTTAAACATTTTTGCGATATGAACCAGAGAAATCATATTTTTAAATTGAAAACTGGTTTAAAAAAAAAAAAACGTGATTACCGTAATACCCTGTGTGAGCGCACAGCAAAATAAAACGAGTTCCGGCCCGGCGCAGATCCCTGCGCGTTTGGCGCGTGTCGGTGGGTCTGTTTGCTCTCGCGGGAGATCCGGTGGAGCTGCTAGCATCTCATCTGGTCGGTGTCGTTATTTTAACTTTATTTAATCATTTTAAAGTTAAAAAGTTGATTGCAGGGGTTCTGTTAGAAAGAGTAATTTTCTCTCCGGTTTTAACTTTGTTATTTATCTGCGTGTCACAGATATTTACGACGGTACTTTGTTCAAGTTTGACCAAAATCGGGAAGTGATTTTTTTTTTTTAAGCTAGCGACTAAGATATGTTTAATTTTACGAGAATAATATAGGCATATATATTTAGTTTCTCGACAATTTTTAACAAACAAAAAATTGTTTTAAAAAAAATGTTTTAAAAAAATCAATTGAAAGATTATATCAAGGCTAATATTTTATGTATTATTTAATCTAGTTCCTCCAGGACATAGACGGTTCCTTCATTTAATAAATTGTTGACAATTAAGGCTAATGGCCTGTATCAGACTAATAAATATCGATTATGAATCGCGTCAGTGAAGCTGAACTATTTAATCAAATTATTTAGACTTGAAATGATTCTAGGAAAACAATATGTCGTTTTTTAAATGTCGAGCAAATGTTTTATTTTAATGTACTTGGGGGTTGGTGTTCGTCAATGAGACAAATATACATTTGAAAATGTTAATTTAGGATTTTAGATATAAAATGCCTTTTGAACAAATCGGCTTTTTGAAGAAAACCATCCTAAAGTTTGGGATTGAGTGTTTAGATGAGGTAATGCTGCCTTTTGTGTGCAAAACTAGAGCAAACAAACAGAAAAAAAAATGTGCTTGAATTTGAACTAAATCAAATTATATCTCCAAAATGGACTCTGAGGGTGAAGCTTCCAGCAAAGTAAATCTTTTTAGATGTTTATTCGTCCACCTATCTATCTATCTATCTATCTATCTCTCTATCTATCTATCTATCTATCCATCCACCTACCCATCGATCCAGCTTTTTGCTCCTCCAAGCCGATCCCTATCAGTCTGTGTTAAAGTCTGAAGTCATTAGACTGTCTGAGGGTAATCCCCTAAACATGGCGTGTCCCCTAAACATGGCGTTTAATAATAAGAGGACATTATTGTTCCCTAAACATGGCGTTTAATAATAAGAGGACATTATTAGACTGTGTGGAGTAATTCCATTCCCCTAAACATGGCGTTTAATAATAATAAGAGGACATTATTAGACTGTGTGAGTGTAATTCCCTAAACATGGCGTGTTCCCTAAACATGGCGTGTTCCCTGAACATGGCGTGTTCCCTGAACATGGCGTGTTCCCTAAACATGGCGTGTTCCCTAAACATGGTGTTCCCTAAACATGGCGTGTTCCCTAAACATGGCGTTTAATAATAAGAGGACATTATTGTTCCCTGAACATGGCGTGTTCCCTGAACATGGCGTGTTCCCTGAACATGGCGTGTTCCTTAAACATGGCGTGTTCCCTAAACATGGCGTGTTCCCTAAACATGGTGTTCCCTAAACATGGCGTGTTCCCTAAACATGGCGTTTAATAATAAGAGGACATTATTAGACTGTGTGAGTGTAATTCCCCTGAACATGGCGTGTTCCCTAAACATGGCGTGTTCCCTAAACATGGCGTGTTCCTAATAAGAGGACATTATTAGACTGTGTGAGTGTAATTCCCCTAAACATGGCGTGTTCCCTAAACATGGCGTGTTCCCTGAACATGGCGTGGTCCCTAAACATGGCGTGTTCCCTAAACATGGCGTGTTCCCTAAACATGGCGTTTAATAATAATAAGAGGACATTATTAGACTGTGTGAGTGTAATTCCCTAAACATGGCGTGTTCCCTAAACATGGCGTGTTCCCTGAACATGGCGTGTTCCCTGAACATGGCGTGTTCCCTCAGATGCTCCGGTAGCGTGATGAAGACTCCTCCTCCTCCTCCTGGCTCTCTGCGGGTCAAGCGCAAGAACGTCCGCCAGGTGAGGAAACACCTGTGCCTGAACCGGGTCCCCGGCCCCAAAACGGCGCCCACCACCGTGGTCCAGAGGCAGGAAATGGCCGCCTACTTCCGGCTGTTGGGTGAGTTAGCGGCTACGCTAGCTGCTACGCTAGCTGCTACGCTTACGGCTACGCTAGCGGCTACGCTAACGGCTACGCTAGCTGCCGCTCCCGTTTCCAAACGGGTCCCAGAGTTAGGAAAATGGATGAAGACATGGGAAGGTTTATGGAGATTTTTTTGTGGATTCTGATTGGTTGCAGATGATGACGTCATTCATGACTTTCTGAGAGCGGACTGCTGCTACAAGATGACGGACAAGGTAGCTTCTATCTATCTATCTATCTATCTATCTATCTATCTATCTATCTATTCATCTATCCATCCACCCATCCACCCATCTATCTATCTATCTATCTATCTATCTATCTATCTATCTATCTATCTATCTATCTATCTATCTATCTATCTATCTATCTATCTATTCATCCATCCATCCATCCATCTATTCATCAATCTATTCATCCATCCATCAATCTATTCATCCATCCATCCAACCACCCACCTATCCATCTACTAATCCATCTATCTATTCATCATCCAACCATCTATCTATTCATCCATCCATCCATTGATCCATCCATCCATCCATCCATCCATCTATTCATCTATCTATCCATCCATCCATCCATACATACATGAATAAATAAATGGAGTTGGTAGTTTGACTCCCTCTTCTCTCCCTATCCTCCAGTACCTGTTGGCCATGACCTTCGTCTACTTCAAACGGGCTCGTTTCCCCCTGGCCGAATACACCCGGATCAACTTCTTCATAGCACTGTGAGATTACGGCTTTAATATATGAATAATAATAATTAATAATAATTTAATATATAAACTTCTATGGCTCAGATCTTTTCTTAGGAGCTGAACATCAGAATCAAAATAAGGTTTATTGCCAAGTTTTTAGACTTACAATGAATTTGCCTTGGTGTTTGGTGCAAAACACTTCTATGAGAAGCAAGAAATAAAATGTAGAAATAAAAATATAGAACAGAAATTATAAAACTGAAAATTAAAATTTTTGTATATACAGTGGGGGAAATAAGTATTTGAGCCCTTGCTGATTTTGCAGGTTTGCCCACTTACAAAGAATGCTTATTTTTCCTCATTTCATTTAATTTTCATTTAATTTAATTTAGTTTATTTTGAGACATGATATGATGGGATTCTGTCTTTCACTGTTAGAATGTACATATGTTACGTTATTCTCATAGTGATGAGAAATGTAATATTGTGATAAAAACGTCTGCCAAATGCATAAACATAAACATAAGGATAAACATATGATTAAAGTTATAGATCGTTGCATTCTTTGTAAGTGGGCAAACCTGCTGTAGAACTGAACGTGCAAACGAACGATTTAAACGTTTTAGTGTTTTATCTCCCAGTTACCTGGCCAACACCATGGAGGAGGACGAGGAGGAGAGCAAGTACGAGATCTTCCCGTGGGCCCTGGGCAGGAGCTGGAGGAGGAACTTCCCCCGATTCCTGAAGGAAAGAGACGAGCTCTGGACCCGAATCCAGCACCGGGCCGCCGTCAGCCGCCGCTGCTGCCAGGAGGTCAGGCCCCGCCCACAATACAGGCCCCGCCCCCCACTATATAAGCCCCGCCCATAATACAGGCCCCCCCCACAATATATGCCCCGCCCACATCAGAGGCCCCGCCCACAATACAGGCCCCGCCCCCCACTATATAAGCCCCGCCCACCTGGTTAGGCCCCGCCCCCAGCCAGGCTCCGCCCATAGTAGAGGGCCTGCCCACAGGAGAGGCACCACCCATAGT